ATTTTCGGTTTTTTCAGTTCACGGAGGCGATTGCATATGAACTGCTCCATATCCAACACAACTAATTCCTTTGCTGTGCTACACGTGTTGAACGAATTCGTTCTGTTTTGTTTTTTGTCACATAATTTTTCATCGTCTCCAAACGTGCACTGTTCTCCGGTCTGACATAGATACATTGTTGAGAGACATATTCCTTTGTTTTCTTGTTCACAATAAAAATAATTTTTGCTGGGTATATGATCATTGGATCGACATAATTTTGGTTCATCAGTACCACCAAGACAATCGATTTGGCCATTGTTGGCTTTTTCAATCGATAGACACATGAATTGAGTATTGTTCAGTGAGATACAAATGTGATGATACAATGGACAATTGATGATTGGTGATCGATCACAATCGACTTCATCGGCTCCATCGAGACAATTCCATATACCATTACAGCGTGTATAAGTATTATTGCATAGCCATTGTTCACATTCAGTTTCATCTGTTTGATTTTGTCCATCGATCAGTATTGGTAAGAGTTTCGTGAAACCGTCACCGATTGTCTGAAATGAAATTTTCTTTCTCGACAAGTCAGAATCTGAATGTTCATCTTCACACAAACCAGCTAAATATTCAATACAGTCACACACACGATTTCCGACAAGATGACGAGAAATACATCGATTGTCTTTCGTACACTTGAAATAGTTTTTGAGAGAATCTAATTCACATGTGTTGTTCACCATAGTCAGTTGTTCATCATCATTATAATGACAATCTCGAACGCCGTCATTCAACCGATAAATTGAAATACATTTAGATGAGTTACGACATTGATACATATTCGATCTGTTACATAATGGTGAATCATTTCTAATCATTGCATTGCATGTCCATAATTGTTCGTGCGTAGGTTTGACATATAGATGCATCCATGGAGCTCTTCCTGGGATGAAAGCTAGTCGAAGATCATTAGGAAGCATACATGTAGCATTATTGAAGGAGACTGATGAACGATTAGGAAAGAATTCCTTGCAAAATTCACCAGTATAGCACACGTATGTAGGCTGCGAAGGTACTCGCGTTGTGTATGTTCTATCCTTAATGGTATAAGCAAAGTAGATATCACCGAATAATACAGGCTCAGCGGGTACGAATATCATATTTGGACAATAATTCTTTATTGGTTCATTACAATTTCCTCTCTCACAAAGAGTAGTACATGAATAGTTGCTGTTAGTCCATGAATGAGGCATTTGAAGAGCACACATAAATGTGAACCAGCACTCATCAGATATGAACGTTGGTTTATTCAAAAACATCGCTTGTAATAGTAGATCGGTGCGTTGTTTCACATATGAACTTGTTAGAGGTGATACATAAAATTGAATGTTAAACACACATGCGACATCTTCGCACATGAATGTTGGTTCAGATAGGGAACATTTTGCACGTTTGTCGTCAAATTTTCTAGCTTCATCTGCTCCATCGAGACATTCGAAAGCGGCAGGATTATCACGAAAAAACTCATCCGGTATGCATTGTCCATTGATACATCGATATTCATTTTCTGCACAATCATTGATTTCTAGCTGCCAACAATGTTCTTCATCATGCCCACCATCGAAACAATCGACTTTTCCATCACAAATTTCACTCCAATCGAGACATGATGGGGCTGGACCTCGATTGCATTGTAAATGAGTATAACATGTCAATGTAATCGGTTCATACTTGTTATTCAGATAGAAATCATAAATCATTTCATTCAAAGATGAATAATCGGACTGATAAAAATCAAACGAATATTGACACATGGGACCAAATGATGGTA